AATAGGCAAGAATTTTGTTTCCATTTAGTGACGGTTTAGATTTGCCTGCCAATATGAAGAAAATCAGCCTCGCCAAACAAATCACAGAAGAGTTAAAAAGTTGTTACTGGTGAAAAGTTACCCCAACTTTGAGGTCAAATTTATTGATGATGAAAAATCACATAAAAAAAACAAATAGTAACATTATGCCCACACTCAAGCTAAGTAGAATAAGCCATGTTTGAGCTTTTTAATCCTAGAATTATAGGATGAAATGCATTTGGCACGAAGGTAATCAAAAAATCAAAGCAATTTTTTAGATTTTACCACCTAATTAGAGTGAAGATGCGACTTGGGGTGCTGAGTTTAACCAAATCAGCCCAGCCAAAAAAATCACAGAAGACTTAAAAGTGACTGTATTCATTGTGTTCATGATGTGAACAACCAATGCATTCAGGAGGTCAGAATAAATTTGCGTTGTGTTAATATAATTTATGTTATGACGTCGGCATCAACTAGAAACCTGCAGACGGGGACAGTCTCCCGGGACTAAAGTCCCTCGCGTGAAATACTTTGCCTTTCCATTCAAATGCCTTTGGTGTTTGAATGTCTAGGATCCACAATTACATGAGGCACAAGGACTGCCGGCAGTCTAAATTAATATGTGAAAATTACACGTACAAAAGTGATTTTAAGGGCAATCCTAGCGGAGCAAAGTGGATCGCCAACATTGAAGGATCTCTGGCGAACCAATTATGAAATATGATATTCAGTATGTGGGGATTATTCATAAAGTTATGTTTATTAACTACCTTATTTACTTAGTTGTTTTTTTCAGTATAGACTAGTTCTTTATCTACATGGTTGGTTATGGTGATTTTTGTGTGTGCAAATGTATGCTCGATGAATTGATTGAGGAATATTTCAATCCCGCTTGTTGCAGTTGTATCACAGGCACCAGTTTCTTTTTTCTTGACAATAATTACTGGTTAACTTGTTGTGTAATCAACTCACTTATGTAATTAACTAGATTTATTCAACTATTTGGAAAACGTGATTCAACTTTGTCAAACCAATGATTGATCTTGTTTCTGAATGATGCATACACAATATAAAGTAAATAGGCTAATGATATTTCTGAAAACTTCAAACTGACTTCAATCCTCTTGACATACACAGTTTTGTGTAAGCTTTCTTTGATATTTTCAAGTTATATAGTTTATTGCCAATTTAAATGTCTTCTATAGTTTGCTATGCATAACCTAATTGTGCTACATGATACCCACTCTCACAGCATAAACAGCAAGTTTTGCTGATTGGTTGTAAATGGGTAACTTGGAAGCTTTGATTTGCAATGGCTGTTATGGCATTCTGCCAAAGTGTACCTTCTGATGTAATTATATGTTATTAACACATATGGTTTTTGACCCTTTAACCCTTGACTCACTACTCATTTGCATTCAGTACATGTACCATCAGCGTCTAGAGTATAAAATTCTTTATGTGAATTCTCAGTGATTTGTCTGGAAAAATTAGTTATTGTCATTTTGTGTTTTGTTTAAAGTGGAGTTATGTTATTTGAAAACTGTAGATTTGATTCATGAAGGCATGCGGAATATTTTATTGTGAATGTTTTGGGACTTATTCAGATTGCTAAAGTTCTTTCTGTGTGTGCGTGTACTTGTACTCAATAATATTTTTTTGTTTTATTATGGTAACCAGTTTTTAGTTTTGAATAAATACAAAAAGAAATTTTCAGGCTAAAAAGTTACCGCTTCAGAGCTAGACCAGAGTGCATTTACTGCTACCTCTACTGGTATGCTGGTTCATTAAAATATAAGAGCATGTGGTGCAAATATAGTAGACTAGGTTAGAAATAAGGAATGAATGAAGTTCATTACTCGTGGGTGAAAGTAAGTCAGGGAGATTTAGATTGCCGTGACTGACTGCATACAATGTCTTATTGAAAAATGATACTAATTCAAAAATCACTGAGCTCTTAAGAACACTTCCTTTTAATTCATTAGTTTCTAAGTAAAACTCAGGTCTATGGGCAGGCAGGCAAGTGTTTGTGTTCTAAAGAACTTGTGGAAACTGGTCTAAATCAAACATTTTTCAGGTCATCATCACTTTACTACCTCCTATAAAAGACCTTAAATAAACCAATCTCCTTTTATTGCTTAGTTTAGGCTTCACTGTACAATTGTGGTGACCCTATTGACATAATAGATGCAGGTCATTGCTCATCAATGGATACATTGTGTTGTCAAGTGTTCAGTTAATTATATTCTCCACATGAGCAATTAGCAGTGCATATTCTGGTAATGCTGTGCTGTATTGTTTTGTATGTGTCTATTAACAAAGGTAAAACTCTTTCTGTGCCAAACTAGTGAGGATTTTTATTAATTTTGTCCAAAACTCTCATGAAAAAAGTGTTGTGAAAATAAAGTTGAACAATTTCATATGCAAGTTTACCTTATCATTTTCAGTAATACATGTCTACCATGTACAACAATGCTGAGTACTGTAAATCATATAATTTTCAATGCTAGAAATTTTCACAATTTTACATGTCTACTGCGGACAACAATGCTGAGTACTGTAAATCATATATTTTTCAATGCTAGAAATTTTCACAATTTTACATGTCTACTGCGGACAACAATGCTAAGTACTGTAAATCATATATTTTTCAATGCTAGAAATTTTCACAATTTTACATGTCTATTGCGGACAACAATGCTGAGTACTGTAAATCATATATTTTTCAATGCTAGAAATTTTCGCAATTTTACATGTCTACTGCGGACAACAATGCTGAGTACTGTAAATCATATATTTTTCAATGCTAGAAATTTTCACAATTTTACATGTCTACTGCGGACAACAATGCTGAGTACTGTAAATCATATATTTTTCAATGCTAGAAATTTTCACAATTTCTTGACTTTATGGACTTTGTGAAGACACTAAAACCCCATGGCACAAGACCCCAAATTTTCACTGCTACAAAATTTCACCATTTTATGGTATGTATACACTTAATGTACACTGCCGTAATATTACAGAATCACTACTACCACATGTAATAAAACAAACATACCTTCAGTGGCTATAACTTATACTTATACTTTATTAAACACATAAAATTCCCCAGGAGGAATTTAAATGGTTACATTTACACTAAACAAAACTAGAATAATACAAAACATTAAGACTAAAGTAATTATTAAAAAAAAAATAATAATAATAATCGAAATAAAAAACATGAATAGTAATATATCTCACTAACAGCAATAATAAAGGTAGAAGAAACTAATGTCTGCTGTTGATCAATCAACAAGAATTGTGAAATTATAAAAATTCACAAAAACTAGAATTTGCAATTAGTTAATAAGTTAGATTTTCAATAGTAAATGAACAAAATCGTTGTGGGTAAAACATGGCTACTGCGTGTAAACTGTGTTAAAATACAATTTTTTTTCCCCAAGCCTAAGCTATGACAGGAAACTTTTCTTGGAATCATGCATTGTGAATAAGTGGTATTACTTGTGACAGGATTGTTGGCATTTTCAACTAAATTAAGGTCATTAACCTTATTCAGTGTTTTCGACTAACGTCAAAAAGTTGATGACCTGCTTGAAGGTTGGTGGCCTGAAATAAACATATACTGGTAATAAACTATGTTGACCCCGAATACACAAAATAGAAACAGATTTTGTTATTAAAAAATTCAGTTTTGATGACACAAAGAGAAATTAGTTGCTATAAAAGTTTGTCATACTCAATAGTTTTCATCTTTTTATCTATTGCTGAAAAGAAGCAGAATTGGTGGGTAGGCATGTCCCAAGGAACTTCTTTTGGTTTGACCCAAATTTCTCAAAATTATATGTGGCTCACAGTATTCCATAAGCAGCTATAGCTTTTACGTCATAGCTATAGCAAGGGTGTTTGTAAAGTGTGACAGCTTTGAATGGGGTTTATTTCAGCATGATTATTAATCCTTCAAATCTTATCTAATCATGACAGAGTCTTGGTTATCCATCAATCGTTCCTCAGAAGAAAGGAGACACCAGTATCTCACCACCACAGGGTAATTATGGTGTACAAGATACCATGGTCAAAGGGTAAGTTATTATATTATCTTGTATTAAATCTAACCCTTCTACAAAATATTGTTTAACCTTATGTTCATGTAATGTAATATTTTGTTTCTGCATCATATCAGTTCATTTTGCTGCTTTCATATATATATATACTGTCACAACAGTTGTGTGTTAACTTTCAACTCAGTAAAAGGGGTCAGTTTTAAGATATTTGTCTGTCGGTAAAACAAATCTGATTTCCTTCACTAGTTTTGCAGTGTTATTTTATGCTGCTGCTCACAACTTAAAAAATATTTTCACAAAAAGTGGGCTCACAAACGTTCACAGAAATGGTTATTCACCATTGGTTTCACCATTGGATTTTGTATCTCAAAATTTAATAAGCATATGTAACTATAATATCGGTATTTAAAATGTAAAAACTCTTAGTAGCCATTTTTAGCACCCCTACTGATGTGCCCTGAACCACTCCAAGACTTATAACTTCATCAATTTCATTCCAACTGCACAAATAGATAATAAACAATACATTATGTAACATGCATTGATAAGACTCTTTTTCACAATCCAAGTGTATTAAGAGTGTTTTCCCGAGCCCTACACATGTAATTTTTGGTAAAAAAATAGTGTTTTTGCCTGTTGAAAATACTAGGTAATACACAATACATGACATATGTTGATAGATGCAATTTCCCAATCAAATCCTACTAAAGAGGTGTCTTTGGGTCTGAATTTGTTAATTTTGGTCAAAAAATGTATACACTCTACTGATTCAAATTCTGAGAGCATACACTACTACATGTAAAAGGGTAAATACAGTATTTTGATTTGACACAATAAATTTACACATATTTGTTTAATTTTACTACCATTTAGTATAGCCTTTCAAACATGTGATTTAGTATTGAAAGTAAACCTCCAAGACCTGATTTGCACACACTTGTACATTGTACCAAATACAAAAAAACATCAGAAGAAACAGCAGTGATTTCAATGTTTGGAAATGTTGTCTGACACCAAAATATTTTTCAAATTTTGTCACACAATGATTTGAGTCCTGACAAATTTGTGTGCAAGTTTAAACAAACATTCAGTGCTTTCTTATTGGCCATTTGTCACAGATTATAGAGGAATGTCATGAAATTTATTTTGATATTGACATTTAACTGAGACTGAAACTGAAATCCCAGGAAATGGAGTCTGAGATTGCATCAGAATAAATCAGAAGATTCAGAGAAAAGATCAGTTTACTGGAAAAACACATGTGCAAACTTTGCAAACCAGTGAGGTACCATCTGTTGATCAATATGTACACCATCAAATGTTTGGATTTTGGATTGTGATGAACAAGCAAGTGGCACCTAAAATTGAGTTAGATTGGTAAATACTAGACACTTGCAAGTTAAAGTAAACAATTAGAAAATTAGATCAATCATTAAAATAGAACAAAAATAAAACAATACAAGAAATGTAAAATCAAATAATTATTCTGTATATATATATATACTTTGTATAAGAGACAAGACCCTCCATTTCACTTAAAATGAAGTAAGTGGGAAAGTATGGCCAGGATATCTACTTTTATATTTTCATATTTTTAAATGAACTCATCTTAACATGTTTTATGATTTTACGTTATTCTGGGAGTGATTTTACACTTATTTGCAAAGTGGGAATGCAACTTAAACATTGAAATAACAAAAGATGATGTGCACAACATGGTTTCAGCTGTACCACTGTAACCTTCAAATGGAACCTATCACTGAAATTCTGTGTTTCTTATCACTATGGTACGAATATAGATGGTTTTGTAAGTTGCTCCTAGCCACAGGAATAAAAAAACAAAACTAACACATGTAGATTGTTTTAGTTGAAATGGTTATTGAAATTAATACAACCCATAATTTTATCAGCCTTGAACTACATTTTAAGAAAGCATGTCAACATTGCCACCTATGATAGTACAGATTATTCGTGAAGTTTCATTTTCAAATCACTGTACCCTGCTGATTAACAGTGATGTAAACATTTCTCACAGCATCACAATCTCTGTAAGTAGCAAAGGTGATTTAGGGGAGAGTAGGAAATCAAACGGGCGGTGCACCGCGGTCATTACTGCGGTGGTGGTGGGTGCTCACCGGTAGACCGCATTTTATGCAAATTTATGCATAGATTCCATGTGGACCGCGGTCTTCCGCGGTGGGCTCGCACAGCAATTCACACTTATTGTCAAGACCATTAATGAACACAAGGAACTGGGAAATTAAAAGGATCACAAAGTTCTAATGAAAAATTAAACCAATTTGGCTGAGCCAAAAGCTAGGAAACTAGTCTATAATAGTTGACA